GTTGGAGGCCCCATGCAATCGGACTAATTTTCTAAATCTACCAAGATGGCCAGTTAAAACTGTGCCCAATTTGATTTTAAAAATTAAAGTTAATTTAAATTTGTTTTACATACACGAATTTCTAAATTCTTACTTTAAATTTTTATACTTTTGTAAGCAGTATGATTGATTAAAAACTGAAATTTAGCAGTTGTTACTCTGTTAATTAAGCAATTTAAATTAAAAAATAAAATTTTGTTAATTAAACAAAATCATAGTAAAATATTTTAAAGACATGTGGAATTCGTCACCATTTACTGGAGTAGCAGCACGGCACGGAGGACTATTCGCCTTATAACCCACCCTGAAATGTGAGGAGCTTTCGCCCAGCTTTGCTAATCCGTAAAACGAATATAGGCTGTGACTTTATTTGTTTCGAAATTAGACATTTTATTAGAATTACTTGGGACTTTAAATAAATTAACGTAAATAGCAACTTCTCGTGAGTTTATTAACCTAATTTCTGACGTAGAGGCCTTTATCGTAAAGCGAGCAATGAACCCATAAGCTTACTGTTATCGTTACAACCTATCAAAACTGCAGAGCACAGGCCTCCCCCATAGATTAACCCATAGGGACGATATTTTCTATTATTACAGTTGCTTCGCTTCGCAGGGTTGTTGGCAATCACATTTTTTGTTGTTATTAGGAAGATGCTGCTGCCCATCTCTTGAACTGTTTTCTCTGCCAGTTCTTACTACACCCACATGAAGATACGAGATAGATAATGATAATAAAATAATAGATATTTTTACGCCGTTACTACATCGCGGTTTCACACCCATCTTGTCGACATACTATGTCACAATGGCAAGCCAAACTGTTATTTTTTTAGAGTTTGTTGAATCTACTTGCAAAATTTCATACAACGAAGGCAAAACCGCGATTTTGCGATGGTCCACAAACGAGTTTTACCGGCAATCAATCACGACTGCGATATTGCGTGTGGACTTAAGGAAATACTAGCAAGACGCATGGTCTCCGAAAAATTGCAGTCTATCCATTTTTTATATGGTAAAGATTAAGTATAGTGCAGCGATAGTCAAACCGTCTGCGGAGTGTAGTGATAGCGGCGGAATACCTCTTCAATGGTAGAAGCCAATATTCAACAGAAAAATGAACATAAGCTTTCCCCATATATGCACCATAGGCAAGATATGTATCATAGTTAACCGCTTAACAGGCGGTTCGGCAACCGCAGTTCTTTAATTACTTTTAATTGTTATGAGGAAGTTTTTGATGCCCGTATTCTGTTTCATTTTCCTCTATCACTTTTCACACCCATCGTAATAATAAAACAAAGCACAAAATCGCGCGTGCTTTTTAAGCCCCACAGCACAACTCTATCTGGATATGACATGAAGCTCTCTTTTGTTGCCACTGCAAAGCATGTGGACTGTTTCGGCATATAGAAGTAAAATGCAAAATCTTCAACTTCACTTAAAGCTCATTTTAACTCCGATATTTATACTTTTTATTCATGGCACGCCTTTTGCCTAAACATAACCACTTTTTTTCTTTATAGCTGTTACTCGTAGATTATGACCATGCCTGTAACGAATATAGCATGATTATTAAAATAAGCTTTCTTAGTTTACGTGTGATAATGGAAGACAAAAACTTCTACTAAGACTCAATTAACTTTCAACTTTGTTTTTCATACATGATGCTGATATGAATAATAATCTACTCACCATCAAGTGTGTTATATTTTGTTTTGTCACGAACATTTTTTTATTTTTAATAAACGTAAGACGCCATGAGATAGTAGCATCAGAACTAGAGTATTGCGGCTATATTTTACATGCCATAAGATTAGACTAGCAGTTGCAGAGGGTATCGATACAGTCATATTATCTCACTACTATGGTAGAGTTTTGTATCCAGAAGTGGAATGTTTATAGAATAATAAGGGAGACAACAAAAAAGTACGTTAACATTCACAACAACAACAAAATCTTCGTGATATGGAGATTTATAATAAAGCTTACATGCCTTATCCAAAAGTTACTCTGAGCTTTAAAATTCGAATTCATATGTAGAAATATATCACTATCACCAAGTACGTCTATTGACCGGGAGGCATGATAATATCGATTTATTCGCGCGATGAGCAAACCTGTTAAACGCAATTGGAATGTCGAACGATTAAAGAAAAAATAATTAAAAATACAGGTGGGATTACTTTCAATACTTTGGTTTTATAAATAAGTTTATTTTTCGAAATGAAATGTTTTAGATATTTTGTTAGTATTTTCTATTACGAATATTTTCATTATATGCATAAAACATACAGGAATATTAAGGGAGAATTGTTTACACTAGTTGTAAATGAAATGTCATTATGTCTTTATAAATATTTTTTTGGTATTATTAATTAATTAATATGACATAATTAATTAATACCCACTGACATATGTATGCCTTAATTGTTATTCATTCAGACATTTTCAAAAACGCAAAAGAATCTTAGCAGTTTAAATTTCATATAGAATTTAACACTTTAACGTTATGGATAACAAAAACTAAATCTAGATCGATTTCGAATATACGATTTTCTTTAATAGTTACCCATTATACACAACCAAGTACAACACGTTTTTACACTTTGCGATAATTACTACTATTGTCGCAAAATGATTGACGTTGTACAAGTCTAAGCAGAACTATTCATTGATATTATTCCCATCCTGTGCCACGATATCGCATTGTTGATTTTCTCGCTCATCTAAGACAAACTTAATTCTCTCAAATCACACTTGAATTTTTCGCACAATACAGTTAAACAATTCGCTATAGAGTTACTATGAAATTTAAATAATTTACAAAACAAAATTTAAAAATTGAAACATGCTGTGAAATAAATGCGTTTATTAATGTGTGTTTGATTGCGCATCTCTAGAGTGATACAAATAACGATCGGCAATTATTTAAAACGTAACTCGCTTTCACTAAAGCAAGTAGCACGTGGCTTAATAAATTTACATTCTATAGAGATGTCATAAGTAATGAGACAGAAGACATTATAATTTTTTTTACATTTCCGATACTCGCCTCTTACGACACCGATGGAACCGAACGGAGTGATGAATTCCATTGTACTCATATCCATCGAAAAAAAAAACATTCTGATAATGTTCTTAATTAGAACAAACAAAGCAAATGTTTCATTTACATTTTAATACTTTGAGAAAACTAAAAGTTTATAGCTCATAGTTATTTGAAAAACCATTGTTTATGATTTTTCAATAAACAATAATGTATACTTATTATAATAAAAGAGAAAAGGCCAATTTTGTACTGGCTTTTAACGAAAGAGAAATCCATCTGAAGTTAGTCACACCATCACGTGCTTGATCTTGAGTCTAGACAATTTCATAAGCTGTTTATGTTAAATATCATCGCATCTTTTATGTTATAGCTGCAATCAAACCGCCCACTTTAGAGTAGTAATGTTCCTAACATATTTATTTATGTACTATGTTTCGTAATTATGATGATGATAGTGGCTAGTGGATAGAATTTCGACTACGACAAAACCCACCCACCACGACGAACACTTTCGAATAGTCGGACGATATCAACTGCACAAGAGAGAAATTATAACGCTAGAGTGTATGTACAAGTGAGAATCCGCTACCTTATTATCATCTCGTGGGTACCGTAAGAGTCGACACAGGGAAACTGATATAGGGAGCATCTTCCTATAGTAATATAAAACTGTGATTGCTAACCCACCAGCTAAGAGTGCCAACTACCTAGGAGGTCTATATTCTCGGGTGACTTTGGTGGTGGTTTTTTTTTGAAGTGAAATTGAAAAAGTATTAACACAAACATACAAACACTCACTTATTCTTGCTTACCCGTATCCGATGTGGTGCTTGCGTGATAAGGTCAAATGTACTGTATGTACAATACTAGCATACAAAATTAGGGATACAAAATTAAAAATAAACTTACAGTATACTACGTCCTACTGCTGACGTGGTACAGTCACGCTGCAGTTATATTATGGTTATATCACGAATGGGTCGGCTCGACTGGGGAAGGATCATGCTCTCTCAGAATACCTGCGTAAAATAGCAGCTTAATACTGCCACGTTTCGTATGGTGAGTGTAGAGATCCGAAAACCCTTTTTTACTGAAAACGAGGCATCCCATCTTAGTCCTCAAGGGTGACAACGCATCTGCGTTTTGATTCTTAATCTAGGATAAATTTAAATGTCTATGGCCCACATCGTCCACTTGCGTGGACCACATCAACCACTGAGGTGGACTGTGTGCTCGTTTGTCACCCTTATTCTATAGAAAAAAGCATAGGCCTCCTCACATTTATGTAAGGGTTATGAAGCAATTAATCCGCGCTGCTAGACTTCACATGTCAACGAAATATTATATTTCCCAGACATGCAGTTTTTCTCACCATGTTTTTCTTCATCGTCAAGCATGTGGAAATCAGCACTTTAACACATGAAAATCAGCAGTTACGTGGTGATATTTATGTGCTTGAAATTTTTATTGGCATTAAACCACCATAACCAAGAACCAACAATTTATGATTTTAAAAAAGTTTGATCCTATTATGATTTGAACCCAAAACCCACGATCTATTAGACACTAGGACATACAGACGTCACAATATTTTAAAAAAATCCTACCTGAAGCAGTAATGCATTCGTTAAAAATCATGCTAAAGAAATAATACTAATGAACCCCGAACGGCGTTTGTAAAAAACAATCTCTAAACATCTTACTTTTTGAAATAAAGACCTAAAATAGACTACACATAAACACACAAATTAAAAAGATGTAATGTAAATAATTTATTTTATAATAGTACTAATGTAGAAACATCTTAGTCTAATTAATTTTAATTTTAGTAACGAATTTATAAATAGTTAACAATATAGTTAGTACATTGAAGCAATGCGATAAATTTATATAATAAGTTATTTTTAATTTCATTTTGTATATGTGGAACTGCGACTGGTATATCCGCCTTTATAACCCGGTACTGAGTCGTTGTGAATTAATTCGCTACTCTGTGCCGAAATATCATTATCTTTTGGAGAACTTTGCAAAGTAGACCCTTGTAGTTTATCATAGTCATTAGACGTCGAAGATTGAATACTTTGAGAATAAGTATACTTAGGCTGAGTATTTGTTGAATAATAAATACCCTGACCTGGAGTTGAATGAAGGTGATTGTTATACAATGGAGAACTTAATTGTGGAAAAAGCACCGTCGGATATCCCAGATAGGGAGATCCAAAGGATAAAGGTTGATAATTTGTGGCAAAATTAAAGTTACCATGTGGCAAAACTGAATTTAACAGCGGATTTCCGTAAGAAGTTATGTGAGTAGGCTGAGAATAGACTGCATGTGGAAAACTTAAATGAGATGTTGAAAGTCCTGATGATGGTTGTAGAAAAGCCAAGTGAATATTACTGTTTGATGATTTAGAAGGTACAGATTGATACTTTGCTTGGTAGCCGGAGCTTGGTACAAAATTAAATTGAGATGAACTTAGTTGTGAAGGCACGTTGACCTGATTTTGGTGAGAGTTAATTGTTGTGCCATCATTTGTCGGGCTAGAGGATGAATAGTACTGGTTGGCGTGACTTGGATAGAAAGAATTTGGGATTTGGGTTTGGTAATTTTGACTAGGTAAACTACTTTGTCCATTAGAGTTTTGAGAGTAAGCGCTGTACGTATATTCAGGTTTCTGGATTCCCGTTGGAATAGTATTCACTCCAGTAGCTTTGTCTATACCTCTCTTCGTGATTTCATCAGTTCCACTGCACTGCACCAACGTAGCAAAAGCAACGAACACCTGTAAAACATTTTAAAATTTACGTGTTGCTACTGTAAATAAAAAAATCATCACATTTTAATTAATTACGGTAACAGATTTGTGTTTTTAAATTTTTAGGTTATGAACAGTTTTCCTATCCTCGAAAAAGACACAATAGTTTAATAATTAAAATCTTTATATATATGACTCACGGGACAGCAGTTAATACTGTTTGCTTGTATCTTTACTATTTCACGATAAATTGTAAGGCATTAAGTTAAGAAATAAATAATCATCAAACAATACACTTACCAGAATTTCCCTCGTAGCAATCATCATAATTTTTATTAATTGATTTTCAAGTGATTAAATTACCATTATATATTTTTAATGAAATTGCAAATTGCGAAGGAAAAGTTATCCAGTCAACGCCGCAAAGAAAAGTGTTGGACATTATCAAGTTCATGCATTTATATGAATGGCCACGGGCAACTTTCTTCTGACACCAACTCCAGAGCGTGACCACTAAGGAAATGACCGATAGGTCTTTGTCCTGTATCGTAACAGATCCAGTTCGAGTGAGTACCGACTTCCTGAACTGGCACGGAAACGCATTGCATGCGTTCATCGATTCCCCCGTGTCCGTTTCCCCGACACTTCTATTTGAAAGGTTTATTGTAAATCTGATTGTTCTAAGAAGTTAAAAGATGATCTTATTTATTTTTAATTGCTGTAATTTTAAAATATTCATATTATGTTATTTACGACGCAGAACCATTTTTGTCAATGAAACCCGATATTTCAATTTAGCTCGTTAAACATGTGTGGAAAATTTAAAATAAGAACACTGTCACTTTTATTTGTAAAAAATCGCATTTTTTTTTGTTATAATGAATTATAACTGACTAGTTTCTTACAAAAAAAAAACTAATTTAAAAAGACTATCTGTGGACCTGTTGTATGGAGTATGGATTTTTTGACTATGTAATAGACAGACATACAGTAACATATACAAATTTAACCAATACGTCAAATTATTATACTAGTATGATATTGGAAAGGAGTTAGAAACACTTCTCGTAAAGTGATACTTATGTTAGGATAGAATGACGATGTTGGTAATAGATATGACAAAAGAGTCGTCATCGAAGAAAGATCACGATCAGAATACTAGCGTAAAATAGCAGCTTAATGCATTTCTAGTCGTGGTAGCTCAAAGACTAAGCGCTAGAAGTAATTTTCATAGTAAGCGAGCAACTCAAGTTTGTATCCCGCCGGTAGCAACAAAATTATAATTTAAAATTTGATTTTACATATTCGACGGTAAAGAAAGACACCGTATGTCTAAAAAATAAAATGCTCTGATTTAACGTCCGTCAATACGCATATAAGCAGTGCGACATACAATAAAAAGACGTAACCCTCTCAGAAATAAGTGGAGGCCTGTGTCCAGCAGTGGGACGTATATAGGCTGTACTTTGATTTTGCAACTGTGTTTACTTTTAAGCCTTTAAGGTGACAGCGCATCTTGCACTTTAATTCTTTATCGAGGAGAGATGTCAGCATCCACATACTATGATGTGGGCTGTGTGCTCGCTTGCGACTATTTTTATATATTTAAAACGTACTATATACGAGTTTACATTTACCAATTTCTTTTACTGTTTTTTATTGGTATAATGTAACTGAACTAAATACTTGATTCGTAGAACGCTAATTTGGAAACTATTTGCACAACGTTAATTATTCGCGTGTGAACGTTGGTTTGTAGAGCCATTTAGGCACACTAATTTAACTACTTGTATATGAGTCACGCACGAACTAAACTGTCTATAAAAACATTACATATTTTTACATCTAGTTTTTAATTTAATACATTCATAAGATTTTTTTCCAAGTACTTATATATTATAACACTTGTAAAAGCCTGCTGCGTAGGTCATCCATAATATTTTCTAACCATGAAGTGCAATAGTATTCATTACTATTTTATTAACAAGTATTTTTATAAAACTTATAAAAAATATAAATTAGATAAAAATAATGCAAACTCCTTAATGTTATCAAGCAGCTTTATTATGACGGCTACATATGGCTATCGTGATATGAATAATAAAAAATTAAAATATAATAAAGTTATGATTTAGTCTACAAAGTTAAAATATTAATCAAAAAGATTATATTATACCTCAAAACAGCAATACTTTTCCATGTTTAATTTAGTTTAGTAACAAATATTTCTACCAAAAGACATAAACGCGTAAGCACTGATTTTTGTTTAATTTTTTTTATAAATTAAAGTCAATATTTTAAAAAGCAAAACTTGAAATTGATTATGTGAGTTTATAAAAAATATTTTTAAATAAATGTATTGTGTACTCTCTCCATAACTATAGTTTGAAAAAATAAATAAATCACAAACAGTCGCATTTATAATGACTATTTCAAAAAGCGCCATCTATTTTACATTACAACCAAAACGAAATTTACTCATAGCTTTCACCTCAGAGGCATAATAAAGTTGCTAACTTTACCAGCAGATGGCGCAGATTAAATGTAGATCGTTCGTCTTTCAATACCTTTTTTATTTGACGCTCTAAATTAGCTTGACCAGCATGTATGTATGAATGTAAATGAATTTTATTATTCAGTTTTCACAAACTTCCACACGTCCAAATAATATGAAATATCTCAAATATATTAAAAACTCATGAAAATACTTATGACCTAGAATACGACTATGATTAGAACTAGATTAGATCTCACTAGAAACTTCACAGTTATCAATGATTGTTGTTTAAGTTTTTTTAAACTCATATTATTTGTAGATATACTAAAAGTAATCTCAGTTTTGGAGACATATTAGAAATCGTCAACATTACAGTCTATCAAAAATCTGGCAGTTTACTGCATAGGGCTCCCGCATAGATTAAAGCTACTAAAGTTGCTGTTACTTTGAAGTTTGAAGCCAGATTAAATTGTGGAGATGGCCAGGTGCTCGCCCAACTTAAGCCCCATAGAATATATATGGGATAAGCTTGAAAGACAAATTAAGAAAAGAAATCTAACTAATGCTAACTTGAGAAATCTTAAAAACGTATTACAGGAAGAACAAAACGCAATCTCTCAAAATTTTATTGATAACTTGATAAAGAGTGTGCCATGGAAACTGGAATCGGTCAAAGAGCTAGAGGGGGCAACATTAAGTACTTATTATAGTCCACGTCGCCTTTTCTAAGCATTTATGTAAAAACTGAATAATATGTTAAGTACAAAAATGATTCTTCCTGTAAATTTTTTCTTAACTTGTGTATTTTTGTCATTCGATAGTTTGTGTCTTCTTTTTTTAAAGGATAAAGGTGACAAACGAGCACACAATCCACCTGATGTTAAGTGGTTGCACAGTGGTTGTCCCATAGATATTTACATCTATTCTCGATTACGAATCAAAATGAATGCCTCGTTTCCAGTAAAAAAGATCTCCGGTGCTATACACTTAACATACAAAACACAGTAACTTTAAACTGCTATTACGCTGGTTTTCTGTGAGAGCGTGGTCCTTTCCCGGTCGAACCGACCCATTCGTGTTACAACTATACTAGTAATACGAGAGTAATATTCGCATAGCTGCAGTATGGCTCTACAACGTAAACATCTTCGACGTTTGATATTTCAAAATAATGAATATTAAGCAAAAATACAATTAATAAAGTTAGTAGTCACACATATCCCTGATATATTTTTATACACACTTTTTTGCGTTCCTATAAATGTGTCCATGAATGTATATAAAATAAACGCAATCTTATATTATTGGTGTTTCTTTATTTCTATAACACATGGTTCTGTCTCCTGGGCTTTTTGACATTCATAAAATAAATTTCGAAATCCTAATTTTTCTTTTAACTAAGTAACTCAATTTTGCTTCGTTTACTCAAACTATTTCTACAAACGACGGATGTATCCACTACTAAGCAAGCTCACTTTTCTTATTTTTACACTGTTATAGTCTGTGGAAATTTATGCAATTTGGCATGTTGTATAGAGTTTGCAAGCATACGTGCCAATTTTAAACTATATGTACGTAACTAACCTAACATTTCATTAAGAATTCTAAATTATCTTTTAAATTATAAAAACTCTTGTTTTGTAACCATGCGGTTAATGAACTGTTAAACTTGTTTCCTTTATAAAGTTCGGTAATTTATTAAATATTGTAATACATATATACTTTTTCCATAATTGTAAGTATGACATTGACATTTTGCATTGTTATAATGGTTTATAGTTGATTGAATTGTAGCTTTCTTTTTTCAAATTGTTACCCCCATGCTAGGTTTTTCTCATGTATCATAGATGCAGTTAACATACATGAATTGCACAAGGACAAACATCCACACTTCCTCTTATTGTGTGCTATTGTGGATATTTAGCACGGATATTCATTTTCTATTTTGCTAAGTTAATATACGATAATATACGTAGTATTAAGTTACAGATGCTTGGAGTACCTATCGATGCAGTGAACATTACGTTATTCAATACATATTATTATTATAGTGAAAAGTAATCAAATTCTATGCAATACTATAAAAAGTTAATTAAAAGCATAAATATATTATAAAAAAATAACACGCTTAAATATGTAATATATAAATTAAACAATAATTCAAACATTAAGTATTATAAAGCACGGTACAGTAGGCTTAAAAATTCAATCAATTTACAAAAATACACAAGCTTAAAATATTTTAAAAGTATCATGTAATAAAATACAACGTGATTATGTTACAGTAATTAATATAAATAACATTTATAGGTCTCATATAATGATTGGACAATGCTCGAGAATATTTCATTTTAACGAGCGTATTCATATGCATGAGTTTTGTCTTGTTAAAATCTGTCCTCTTCAATTATTTAATTAATAAAGAATTGACTGATGTTAACCTAAAACAAGTAGAAAAGGGGTGATTTAATTGTCATTTACCTTATTGAACCTTTTGGTCGTGAAATTCTTTAAATATTGTTTAAACTGAAAGAGAAATTTTTTTAGATTATAAATAATACTTATTAAATGTGACTTTTTTTAATTTACCATTTATTACGCACTACTGCTTTCGGCTTCCGATTGCTCTAGTGAATATTTATTCTTCCAAAAGACACCTAAAAGAACTAAGTTACTAAATAAACACAACGTTAATAACGGTGCTCAGTAAGATGAACATTCCATAAAATATTTAAAATAAACGAATATCAATAAACTCACAGAATACCAGTCTAAAATAGCAGCTTAAAGCTGCATGTTTCGTATGGTGAGTGTAGATAACCGGAAA